TATAAGCAACCAGCCGTTCGATAACAGGGTGATTATGAACTGGCATCCTCTTTGACTTCAAAACCAAATAGAAACTGATATTGGCACAGTAATTCAAGTAGAGATGACACTTGGTCTGCAAATAGCGGCTGCCTTTCCCTTGCGGGATAGTGCCATTTTTGACCATCTGCAGTAGTGGGTGCAGTTCATCCTTGAGCTCCATTAGCTTGACTTCAAAGTCTTCAATCAGATGCAGGAGCTCAGGGGACTCCTGCTTCAGCAGCTTGAGCTGCTCCTTCTTGGAAAGGGCCTGCAAATCCTTGTCAATCTTCTGCCCTTTGCTGTCGTGGGTTTTCTGTTGATCAGCCAGATAGCCCTGAAACACATCTAAACCATAATCATCTTCCCCCAAGTCCTGCACCAACCGCCTTTGAATGACCTGAGCTTCCTGCTCCTCTTCCTCCTCCTCAGCATCAACCTCTTGCTGGCTACGCTTGCCCTTGGCCTGGGCATCGCTCCCGTAGTCTGTGTCGTAGTAGAGCTGCTTGCGCTGGCCCCAGGAGAGCTCATGAGGCAGTTTGGTGTCCTGATGGTGCTCCTCCAAGTCGCTTTCCATGGACAAGTCCCCATCTTCATCTTCAACCTCGTTTTCTAACTCCTTTTCACCTTCCCCATTCTTATCTTCACCTTCCCTTTCCTTGTCTTCACCTTCCCCATCGTGCTCCTCCTCACCTCCATCCTCTTCTGCGCTGTGGTCCAGGAAAAGATCCACCCCTTGTGCTTCCTCCTCCTCCTCCTCTTCTTCCTCACCGTGTCCATCCTCCTCACTGTCCTCTGGCAGCTGCAGCCCCAGCACTTCCTCCTCCTCCTCCTCGCTGCCTCCGGTCTCCTCCCCGCTCTCCAGGGCCGCCATCACCGCTTGGAACTGTGCCTCATGAAATTCCTCCACCTCGTCGCGCAGGCCCTCGGAGCCCGCCTGCCCGCCGGCCGCCTGCTCCCCGACATCCTCGTCCTCTTCCTCGGCCGGCTCTGCCCGCGGCCGCAGGAGAGTGCCGCGGCGCGTCCTCATAGCTCCGCTCCGGCTCTTCCACCGTGCCGTGCCGTGCCGTGTTTCCGCTTCCCCACGCTTCGGGTTCCGGTTCCGCCGTGCGCGGCCCAGGGCTGAGCTGCGAGGTGGGGCTGACTCGCGGTGGCCCGAGGGCAGGGAGGCGGGTTCTGAGCCGGGGTTTGGCCAGCCCTCACCGTGTGTCTCCTGGAAGTACTTGCTCATTCAAACCCCACCGCTTGCAGCTAAGCTTCTAGTTCATGGGCTGAACTCCAGTTCGTAGCCACTCCAAAGTCTGGAATATAACTGAGTTTATTTCTACTATTAGGTTTTTAATAGAGTAATAGCCCTGAGGAGCTGTGCCACGCGGGCAGCCCCAAGCAAGGAGTTAGTTCAGTCGTGGCAGGTATCAGCAACGAATAATGCCGCACAAAAATAAGAGTGCCTTTTTCCCTCCTCAGGGGGTCTTGTCTTCACCTAAAAGCACAGACACATACAAGTGCTGTCTGTATAGTCTTACAACAAGGGGGAGGTGGAAAGCAACATACAAAGTGCACCTGACATCTGTCCCCTTTCTTACTGAAACATCTTATTACCCCGCAATCGCATCAAACTTTCAGAGAGAAAAAGTATTTGAAAACCTTTCTGGACACATCTGAGATCATGAACTCTTCCAAGTGCTTCCCATCACCCAGTCTTTACAGAGCATTACTACTGGACCACCCAGAAGCGGTCTGTTCTTAAGATGCAGGTAGCTGTTCCACAAGAGCAGAGGGGGGCACAGTGCTGAGTTTAGTCTGAGCTCAGAAACCCAAAGCCTGATAAATTAGGCAGGCACACATGCCCACAAGAGGAGCTCTGTGTACAAGTGCAGATGCCTTTTTCTCACCACGGAACAGGTGCAGTGCTATTTATAAATACTCCTGCACACCTCCTTGTGGAAAAAGACCTGCCAAGCAAATATTAAAGTTAACTGAAACGGTGGGGGGATGGGGGTGTGTGCACAACTTTACTCACTTTTTAGTGATTCCTTTGAATGCTGGTAGGTCTGACAGCAGACAAGTCTCACTTAGGAGCCTTTCTTCTGACGTCTGCATCGTCACTTCTGGGTCTAAATTTTCCATGTATGCTCTTGTACCAAAGGTATGTTTCACTTCAGGCTAAGACACCCTTTCCAAATCCATCTGTGCCAGTTTTCAGATACCACCTCTCCTGGATACAGGCCTGCATAACAAAGAGCAACAAAAATCAGTTGGTTTTGGTGGGACATGGCATTAATTCAATTTCTTAGCCACACCTCAGTGGAAATCCTCACTTGGTACTAGTTGGCCACTAAAGCACAGCCATCTCTGCTAATGAGGCTTTGTAATCCTGCTGATTAATCCCACCCTCTTTTGTGTGAAGTCCACCCAGAGAAGTCTGCATCTGATTTTTGTGTCATTAAAATTCCAGGTAACTTTTGTAAGTGTGACCTACAGAAGCCCAGGCCTTCACTGTGTCCCTGACACTTGTCATGTAACTGCCCTCACCACATAGTGCCCTCATCTTATTTTATTTTTCTTTTTTTAAGTCTTGCCCTTTCAAAATTCAGAGCCTTAACATCAGACAAACTTCCACTTGGATTTAAATGGAATTGATGTGTTAACTCTCAGTCCAAGGTTAATGTCTAAAAGCAGAAATCACATCTGCAGACATGTGAACCTTCTCCAGGACTTGCTGAAAACATCACCCATTTCTGATGAAGCTGGAAACGATATCTGATGTGAGTCAGTTCATCCAGTTAGTGGGAACTGGTCAAGCCAAACCACAGGGGTTTGCTATAAGCATCAGTGGAATCACCACCACCAATACAATAATCAGTGACCACTGTAGGTCTGGTTTAACCCACCAGTTCCTTTGCTTCCAAATGAGAAATGAGGAGAGAAGCCAGCCGTAGGACAGACTGCTAGCAGGGGTGTGTTATCTGGAGATGGCCCATGCCATGGTACAGCTGTCCTCCTTCCCGCTCCTCACCCAGCATGGCAAGGACACCCACAGACACAAGTTTGTCTCACTTTATCCAGGCACCTGTCCAGCATCTGACCTAGAAAACTCATTCAGCAAGTCCAGGGGTGATGGGAGGCACAGGACAAGTGAAGGGAGATTGAGACTACAAGGCTGGTTCCCATTTCTTTTCAAATTCTCAATTACTCCTCCACTAGCCTCTGCCAGTGACGTTTGCCAGCCCCTTACCCAACAGCTGCAGTTCTTTAATGTTTGCTTCCCCAGATAATATTCTGGTGATTCAGAATGTCACACAGTAAAAAGGGGGTAGTCCATAAAAGTAACAGACCGTAAAAGATACCTTCCTCTAAAGAGCTTGCAAGCAAGATCAAAATGCTCAGAGACATGCAGGTGGCTGACTGGGACTAAAATAGCTCTTGTGCCACCATATAAAGCCCAAAGGGCCTGTATGCAGTCATATCGATTTAGCAACCGAAATTCAGGTGTGCTGAGCACCAGCAGTTGGGGAAACACATCAAAATCAACAGCATCACACTAAATATAATTCTGCTCAGTCTCTCCCTTTGGGCTTGAAAATGGTCATGGATGATTCTGCTTGGATCTTACCAGTGCTGTGTTTTATCAGTGCGGTTTGGCAAAACTGACCAGAACCAGCATCTTCTGCAAGTGCTTTATTTTGCTGCCTGCGTCCCACCATCTTGTATGTTTTTAATATGTTACCTATTTTGTTACAAAGGTGACTGAACCAAATAGTGCTTTAGACAGACACCCCTACCACCTTATAGTTAACCAGGCTCATTTTAACCTTATGCAAAATATGGGGCACATTGAACCTCTTGCTGCTGCTGCTTCAGAAGAGAGCTTCACATGAAACTGTTGGCAATATTTTCTGGGGAGGGAGAAAGGAAACAAAACCAAATTTTGCCCTCCTAAAGATGGAGCCCTAGTGAGAGAACAAGGTTTATAAAGAGCTATGCATAACCTGATGCCCTGCTGGGAGGTGGGCTTGCACCCATGTCATCGTGTCCCCCCCCCGGGAAACCTTGCGTGTGAGCACTGCTGATGCAACACAACAGCTCATTGCATCATGCAGCTGCCATAGGAGATACTTGTGCTAGGAGAAAAAGCTCAGGGGACAGATCCCAGAGTATTTGAACACCTTTAGGGTCAGATACACAGCCTGCAAGGTCTGAACAAAGGAGGTGACAGGCTGCCCTTTCAGGAACTGGGTGCCTGGCAGCGTGGCCTAAGGACTTCAGTCTCCTGAGAGCAACCAGCCCTGGGTGAGCCCAAGGTGGCATGGGGTGGGTGAAAAGCCTGTATCTGGTCACTGGGCTGGTGCTCTGCTGCACAAGGAAAATCTGGAGGATGCAGGAAGATTTACCATGTGCTTCTCATGTTAATTGAGAGAAACACACATTGCAGGAGGAGAAATTCAGGAAACACTGAAGCAATAACCCTGGCTAAGAACAGGCCAGGGGTTTGTACTTTGCTCTGCCCCCCGCATTTGTCCCCCAGTGTAGGTGTTTGGAGGCCCTCGCTAAGACTGGGCTTCCCTTAAGAAGTGGGCTTTTCTGCACAAGTCACATAAACATCCTAAAGACAGCCTTCAGAGTTATACAAGTGATCCCAAATCTGGGAAAAAAGCCAAATCTCAGGTCCTCTTCAGTGTTCCCCTCCATCAGGAGAAGTCTGCTTGCCTAGTACCTCACAGAGTTTGCCCAGGACCTGACTCAGAACTTTCTGTTAACCAGCAAATCCATGGAGTTCCTTTTCAGCACCACTAGCCCTGAAGACAAGATGTCCCTTAAGGACCAGGGTGGGTTTGCACTAGCTTGCACTCAGCAGCTTTGTTACTTTGTGATTAATAAAAATGCACAGTAATATTGCAACCGTCTGCCCCTCTTCACCTCTGAAAGCCGGAAGTCTTCATGCAGTGAACTTGCCTGGTTTCAGTCCCCAGCCACATTTTCCACAGTGGCTGTGCTGGCCGGCTGGGCTTTTATTTTAGGAAACAGCTGTATCATTTCCACGCACCCTTATAGGCAGAGGGAGGCTGTCCACTAGTGTTCTTCAAAAGAAGGGAAGGCACGATGAAGAGCTCTTTGTTGCTGTGTGTGGCCTTGGCCATCTCCTTGGGACTCATCCTGGTGGCAGGTAGGTGAGAAATGAAGAGCATGGACAACTCTGCTTAAGAGATCAGTGATGGGGTTTGTGTAGTCAGTAATATTTCTATAAGCCAAAAATACTACCTCAAGTCCTGCTCAAGCAGTCACGCTTCAGTGCCGCTTGGACACCTCAGAGTCTTTCTGCACCACAGAGCTGTGTGTTTTTAATTGCTGCCTTGAGGCTAAAAAAGCCAAGACTATCTGCAAATTTAAGACTCTAGCCATTTTTCATTGGGTTTCTGAAGCAACAAACAGCAAACATGCATGCTTGCTTTTCTGCAGTGGTAAGAAGCTTGCAAGACTGTTACCTGCCAGATTTAAAGGATTCCAAAGTTTTTCTGGTAATCCTGTATATTGCTACAGCAAATTTACTTCCAATTAAACTGTAATTTATTGTCTAACTCCACTGAATTTTCTGGATACTCTTGATTTAGACTGAGATCAGACTGTCATCGCAACACACTTCTCAGTGTGGTTCACAAATAATGGGTGCTGACTGTACTAATACTATACAACAGTCATCCTCATTCACAAGGTGGGTCTGGTCCACAGGATTAAATCAATGCTCGAGGATAACCATCCCAACAGCACGGACAGCAGCATCCCTGCATTTCCTCCCACTTTTGGGAAAGGGCATCTTGTTCCCTACCCAGGCAGGTCCTTGTAAAGTACTGCTTCCTGTGAAAAGCATCCAGCTGTATAGTTTATTTGCTGAAAAGACAGAAAATGTTGAGTTCAGCAACTGTGTTGGTTCAACACAGAACCCAGTCTGGCTTTCCCTATTCATATGCATGGCTTGAAACATATATATACATGAGCGGTTTAGAGGGGAGGTCAATTTAAAGTTATGTGTAGCTATGGGATTGCTGTTTGGACTGTTTACCTTGAAATGAATGTATTTTTGGGCTATTTGAGCCTGTTCCTACTTTAATAAATTAGCCATTTGGACCTGCAGCAGGGTTTGAACAGATCTTTGGAATGCATTTGCTTCTTCACTGTGCTGAAGCTGGCTTCTGTTGGGCTTCATAGTGTGTTACAGGACCAGCCAATATTGAAATCTGCGTAACTGTTAAGGAGGGAGGGAACACCCATCTTGCAGTGAATCATGCAGCAGAAAATCTAACCTTAACACTTAAAAGGGCATGAGGAAATTTTTTATTTAACTACCATCTTCCCAAAGGGACTTTACTGGGTTGGTGCATGGAGATAGTGCTGATAAAGCCACCCTTTTTTGAGCTTTGTAATTTTAATTTGAAAACATTATATAGAATATATCTAATTTATGCTTACTGAAGCCAAGAGCATTACACAAGGAATTAAATAAGGACACTATTTTTAGAGTACAGTCAAAAAACCTCTGCATATTCATAAGAGTATGTTAATATGCTTTTAGAAGATGAATTAAAGCCTGTTCCCAAACTTTTTGGAGCAATTCCCAAAGCCATTAGAATCTGACTTGACTATTGGCTTTGAATTAAGGATTTATAAGGAATTGCATGCATGTCTGGCAGACACCAGAGGAAGGTCTGTATGAAGGACAAGAAGCAAGAGACTTTGTATAAGACAAAAGAAAGGCCAAGACTCGCAGAGGTCACAGTCACATTTCACAGTGGCATTTGTACTGCTGGGTTGTGCTGGGTGCAGTACAGAGAAATGCTAAAAGCCAGCCCTTGCTCCAGAGGGCTCAATGGGCACATGCTATAGCAGGACATGCTTTAGAGAAATAAAGAAAACTGGGGGAATATGCCCATGGTGGCTTGCTCCACTGCCCAAAGTAAGGAAGCAAAGTAATTTCCTTCCTGATCAAGAAACTCCGCAGTCAGTCCTATTCAGGAAAGTATTCTGCTGCTGCTTGTCACAGAAACTGCATTTGTAACCACCTGGGGAATTTTAGGGTCACTCTGAGTCATCATTTACAGTTTTGGTGGCTTTTTCACAAAACCAGCATCTGCAAGGATCACAGAAAATAACCCCGAGGAAAGGAAGCAGATGAGACCGACATATTGTGGAGCAGGAAGGAAGCTGTAAGAAACCTTAGGTAGAAAACCTGGAATGCAATTGGCATGACATTGCATGGACTAGATACCTGGAGGCTCTGCCAATCAACACTGCAGAGACCTGTCCTTGCATGGTCTGGCATACAGCTTTATGTAACAGTTAAGCTGCTGCCAACGGTGTCTGACAATCAGAAAACTTACAGCCCACCTGAGAGTCCATGCGCTGCTCCCACAGGCTTTGAGCACTATCCCTTTCACCCTGTAGCAACAGGCTCTGTTGCTAATAAAACCCAGCAGCTTTGGACATGGAGATTAAGAGAAAAAACAGACATGAGCTTATACAATGTGTGTTTCTGCTTCATTACTGATGTGTGCTTTGATAACTCAAACCCAGCTGCTGGGACCAAACAGTTTAAGTCAAAATGACTCTGAAATCCTTCACAGATATGAACACAGGCATCATCAGCCTGTTTTTTTGTTTTTTCTTTCCCTCCATGGTTAAGCCAAGGGACTAGCAGAGTAGGACAGTCCCCAGAACTGAGGTCCTGCTGAGCCCAATATAAACTACCCCATCTGACAAAGATCACTGGTTTTGGTACTTCTAAGCAGGCTGAAGATTCTGTAAGAAGAGCAATACCATACTGATGGCTGTGAACATTATTTCAGCAGCATTTAGAAATACAGAGGGAGGTAAAACAATCCCTTAAGAAGGGTATGACTGTGTGCATATAGAAGCAGGGCTGGCTTATTATGGGTTTGGGCAAAAACAACTAGCAAAGAACCAGCTACTTAAAATCCATCTACCTGCGCAGTAAGAAGGTATCGCACGCAACCAGGAACCTTCAAAAAGCCCCTGGGTGACAGATAGGATGTTTTACCCCATTTTAACTGGGTTTCATATTGAATAGTAATAGTTCATATTGAACCTAAGGTGGTTCTTCTCTATTTAAGAACATCAAAACTGCAGCCGTCCCTACAAACCACAAGCATGGGGGCCACCTGCCTTTCACTGCCAAGTCAGCAGGCTGCTGTATTGCTGGGTCGTCATGCTTTTTGGAATCTGTTCCCTGAAGGGCTTGAAGGACAACATATTACTTAAGGAAAACTGTTACATTGGCAAAATCAGGGACATTTATTTAGAGGCCAGATCCAAACTAGGATTTGGATTGCTGGACTAGTCCTGGTGCATGACAAAGGAATTGGGTAACCTCTCCCATTCAGGTAAAAGCAGGACTTCAGCTCTCAAGTGTAGCTTGAGGCTTGCAAGGGGATTTTCTTCCTATTTCATGAGAAACTGCTGCATGTTTGCCTCTGACCAGCCACACAGTGTCCAGGTCCATCATTTGCTCCTTCCCAGTCCCATCACCTCTGCATACAGAACCATACTGTAGATGAAGCAGAGAGGACAGCAGAACTCATCTTTGCCAAGAGGCTCATTTGTACCTGCAACCCAGGTTTTAATCAACCCAGATGCAGTAATGATATCTGTAATGCAGTTCTGGCATTTTCATCACTTGGCTTTCTGCTAAAGCAGGTTTCAGGGTTTGTCTTCTTGACTTTGGGATTGCATATCCTGTGCTCACAGGTTATCCACGTGACCCTGAGGACGAGGAGCACGTGCTGGTCAATAACAAGTGTCAGTGTGTAACAGTGACCTCAAAGTTCGTCCCCTCCAAAGAAAATCCTGATGCAGAAATTCTACAGAGAAACATACGCATCCTGTAAGTGGCAGACAAGTGTTACATGAAGTGTTACAAGAGTTCCTTTTTCTTTGCATTGTTTCCCATGTTCTTGCATTAAGGAACTGAACTTTTTTTCCTGTGGGCTGCTTTCTACGGTATCTTGGAATGTTCCCTTTGCTTCATGTTTTTATAGTTTACATGAACCGATGTGTGTTTTGTTCCTTCAGATACAAAAAGCATTTTCATGTTTTAAGAAGTCCCGTTGTAGCTTTACATAATAGACTGGGGAAGTAGGGTGTAACATTTCTACAGCTGATTAAATCTGAACCCAAACTGGGCCGATGACACTGGACTCAAAGCGAGCCTGCTATTTATATAGGCTGAGAAAACTGGTTAATGCCTGAACTATCACAAAGGTTAATCCTATGAGGCATGTCTCAGTTGAAGAGTAAGATTTTGTCTTCTTTATTCACACAAACCTTACAGCAGTGTGTGTGTCTTTGAAACATGGACCAAGTTCAGGCTCAGAGCCACAGGAATTCTGGTAGAGCTCACAACACGGGAAACAGTAATTAAACATGTCCATGTCCTGCAAGTCTCTCAGGCATCTGAGAGCTCAGAGTTTAAACTAAAGGATTATCAGCACTGTCCCCTTCCAAGTGGCACTTTCAGAAATTGCTGCAGTCATCTTGGGGTTGCCTTTGAGGGCACTGAAGGGCCAAAATGCACTGCTCCTGGGCTTTGTTACAGAGAAAAGTTGGAATGCAAACAGTCTGAACAAGACAACGAAAACTCAGAATTGTTCCCAGCAGAGTAGTTCTGGTTAATAAGCAGTTTTCATGACAGCGATTCTCTTCCCTCCTTTGCAGAGTCCCCCTGAAGGCTCGAGAGAACATCTCTGACCCCCTGTCCCCACTCAGAACCACTTTTGTCTACCGCATGACTGACCTGTAAGTAATTGTTTACTAAAGTAATTTCCTAAGACTTCATCACCCCACCAGCATTGTCTACCCAAGCTCAAAAACATGCTCGAAGGCCAGTAGAGAAGGTGAGGCAGGGTCAGTGAGGAAAATTTTCCCCACAGTCCAGCTTTCATATTCTGTTCCAGGCCAAGAAATAGTTATCTCCATGATTAATTCACATGAAAAGGGCTCACACTTACAGGAAATGTTTCATTCTGACCCTTGTTCATCTCAAATGTCTTAAATATAAGCAGATTACACATAGCCTGCTTAACCCTCCCTTTCAGGGACCAGTCTTGACAATAGCAGTTTGACAACACTAAAAGCATCTGGCTGGGGGTTCCTTTGTAAAACCTAAAAAGGTCACAATACTCTCCTAGATCCATGTACAGATCAGCAAGGAAGATGGGGGTTTCACCAGGGGCATCTTCTCATCACAGCTCTGAACACTTGCTCTGTTCTCCATCTCTTCCAGCTGCAAAAAATGTGATCCTGTAGAGATTGAGCTGGGTGGTGAGATACACAAGGCCCAGCAAAGCACCTCCTGCGATGAACCTGAAACCTGCTACACCTACAACCGGGACAAGTGCTACACTACAAACTTCCCATTCCTCTACCACGGAGAGATGAAAAACTTGCAAGCAGTTCTGACACCAGCATCCTGCTATGCTGATTAGCTTAGTCCACTGCCTCCTCACATTTAGTATTCCTATAAAAAAAAAATTGTATAGCACCATTAGCACCTGGACAAGAGTGTCCAAAATACCAGATCCCAGAGTAATGCCAACTTGCTTCTTCATACTGTTTTCAACAGCAGACTACTGCCATCTGCCAAGAGCAGGTACTGGTTGTCAGACTCTTCATCCCCGGCACATATCTACAATGCCATTATTGTATGCCCCAGATGTTATCACTATATAGACCAGATCCTAAGCAGATCTAAATCAGTAATTCTCTTTAAGGAAAGGGAACTACATAGATTTACAACACTGGAGAGCTCGTCTTTCTGGTGGTCTTCCAACAGTCTTCATCTGAGCAAGGCTGCTGGAACATCTGTGTATTTCTCTCCCTGAGCCATCTCAAGCAAGCCTCTGCACAACCTTAAAAAAAAAACCCTTTGACTGCATTAGCAGAATTTGTGTCATTATTAGAAGTACAACCAGATTTGAGAGAAAAGATGAGGGATAAGACCAAGGATTCCTATTTCAAATGTCATATTCATTTGGGCATTCTAAAGCACTTTGACTGTTGCAAGCTTTTAGCTTGCATGTACATTTGGAGAAGACCAACAGATAACTCTACCCTGAACTCTTCTGCAAAGTTGCCAGGAGCTCAGCTGTGCCAGGAATAGTATACCCCTCTAGAACATTAGGTATTTCACCTTCCATGCTTATTTACTGATACTGGTGCCTTCTTCCACTCCTGCTCCCAGTTCAGTCACAAGATAGTTCAAATATCTCCTCTTGTTCCTCACTTCGCATTTAAAACTTCAAGAAATCCCATGGTGACTCAATCGCTCAAGCAGTGCCTTAGCTAGGGATTTATTCCTTCTTTCACATCAGTAGACTTGCTCTTCATACAAAAAACCCCACCCAAATCAAGGAGCCGATTCTTTATTGCATCTGACATGTGTTTTACTCTCTATTGCCCATAGAGACATTGTGAATGAGTGCCCAAGGTGTCCAGCATTACGTTTGGGATGGCTGGTATGTTTTTCACTGTTGTCAGAAATTGATTGTTAAGCCTTAGGCTGATCTCTGGCTTCACACATAATTGAAATAAACCAGCAAAAGCCTTACTCCTCTAATTGTAGCTTTGTTAGTGAAACTTTGAATAAAATATTTTCTGCAGCAGCCTGTGTGTTATGTTCAATGAGAACTCAGAAAAAGCCAAGTCTATAATTGTATTCTTCCCTCCTTCACAGTGAGGAAGAAGTTCTCCCTAAATAACTGCCTATACTTACAGGCAAAGCCTTCTGAAATACTGGGATAGAAATATCATGATGTACTTGCAGAAGCTATAACAGATCAAGGCTGAACTGGTTTATGAGTTTAGGATCAGTTCCACCTGACTGAACTGCCTCAAGGCCCTGTCAGTCAGTGCAGGACCAGAGCTTGAACATCCAAAGATCACCTAAATCACTCTTGAAATTGCAAGGTGCAGATCAGAATCCTACCTCACCACTGATAAAAGTGCCTTCAAGACAGGTATGCCAGGGGCTAGTCATTTGTATACAAGGTGTCTTGTCCTCCAAGAAAAAACAGCCTTGAAAAGAGCAAAGAGGACAGACAGATTACCCTAACTACATTCTGTTACATCAGAGTTATGGACCATGCACTCAAAAATGAAAGACGGCAAAAAGATGCCAACTCAGAGAAATGCAAAGGGACCTCCCTGCAAATAGACTCCTGCCATCTGCTAACACAACTATACATATTTCAGGGGCTAGGTACTAAACTCACCAACATCTCAGACATTTTCTTCTTCAAATATGATATAAGAAATTAGTATGTCATGGTGAGGCTGCATTTCATCTCCCAGCACAGTTCTTGAGGTTACAACTAGTCAGTCCTTGGGGCTCTGCCTCTAACTCTAGAACCTTGTGCCTAAATACAAAGTTTCCATATCGATTTGTGCATCCTGTTGTAGAGACAATGGAAGGTTCACCTCCATAAGACTGGAAATCACCCTGCTGCAGATCTTGGAAGCCCAGCAACACCAGCACAACAGACTACTTATGAGAGGCATTCAGGAAGAAGGAAGTCAAAGCAGCTGTGAGTAACTACTTGCTTAGATCACCTTGGGCAGAGCAATCAGCCATTGGGAAACAAGAAAAAGGCATTCAGCAAACTCCCTATGTGCTTTTAAGCTTTATAATGCATCAGGATTCATTCCCTCCATGTTTTCTAAAAGGGAGAAGCCTACATCACTAACCTGGATTGTGTTAACCAGGTTTTAGGCAACTCAAAGCAACACAGCAAGTTAAACCAGGCTCTGAATCCTTACCTGAAAGGCCAAGACAGTAAAATAGGAGCAAGTGAGGTCTACTTACCTCTGAAAGCACCCTGGAGAGTGTCTGCAGCCTTCTAACCAGTGGAAGTGTTGATGGATGAGACAAATACCCCTTGCTGGAGGCTTAGTTGTGCCAACAAAACCACACCTTGCTTTGAAAGATCATGGTTCTCAGATTGTGCAGCTCCTACGTCAAGTGGGATTTTTTTTGGCGAGTCCTGATGTTGGGGGGAAGAATGCATGCCTTGGTGTGAACTCCTTCATTTCATTCTCTGACTAAGGTGGGACAAGGCTGCCCCCTTGGGCTTGCAATGCTTACCTACCAGGTCCTTGTTCTTCACAGGTCAGGGTGGTTTTTCAGCTGCATTTAATGTTTCTTGAATAATTAGTGCCTTTAAGCTTAATTCATTTTGCCTCAGACTTGTAGGAATACATTTCTATTTCATCTCCTCACAGACTGCTTTTAGACTTAACTCTTCCCAGGTCTGTCTTCCTTGCCTAAATCCTGTTCTGTTGCTTACACAGTGTGGGGTTAGAGGGATTTTTTTGCTAGTTGTTTCAGACATCCTTTTTAAACTATGGAAATTTATCCTCAAATCCTGTTTCTAGCTAGACCAAAAAGTATAATTAGCAGCATAAATTACAGCACATATACAGGCTGAGAGGAACAAATCCTTGAGCTCAAAGGCATTCTTTTACAGTAGGGAATTCAGCCATCAGGGCAGTTTATTATGATAACAAGGCAAAGCTGCAGTTTCACTCACAAATAGGCCAAAGAGTTATGGGACAGCCCAGCCCAGCACTGCAAAGGCTTCAGCTGTCTTTATTAGGCATTTCTTGTCTAGTTATAGCTAACTGCCTTATACACTTTGAGCTGGAAGGTTTCAATTTTCAGTAGGTGTGTAGATTGCAGCACCGGTTATACCTTAGAGAATTCAGAGATCACTTATTTCTGTTCTGTAAAGCAGTAAGCACAAAGTGAAAGCTTAAAAAAGCAGGAAGTTGTCTGTGGACCAGGATCTTTGTCTAGACAGCAGCTTACAGCACAAGACATCATGACTGCCTTCTAGCCAAGCCCAAGCATTGCTAAGATAGCCAAGTGGTTTGTGCCTGGAATTTAGTACTCCAAATCCAATCTTCAAACTATTTGTCCATTTCAGAATTGACTCCAAACTACCTTAAGGCTTATTCCAATGTGAGAATATTCTTCTAGGAGCAACTCAGCTACTAGTTTTATTCCTTTTAAGAAAATTTAGAAATCTGTATTAATTCATGGTCATGAACAGCCTTCTCTTATTTTGTTGTATCTCTTCAGACACTTTCTTGCAAGCTTTGGTTGACTCCTCTGGAGCTCTATCATTTTCTCAGCCACCATTTTCCAAAGGAACTGAAACAAGAGATTAAACATAAACATGATTAGCAGCCTCAAATGATACTTAGAATTGAAGAACAAGGTAAAATACATGAAAAGAAAGGGTAAAATGTCTGGTGCACCTATGGCTGAGTTGCAGCTGTTGCCTGTGATGTGAGATCCAACTCAGTCTAGTCTCTTCTCCAGCACTGAGGTTTAAATCTGCTTTGCATCCACAGTTAACACATAGCACAGGGTTTTGCACATGCTGATGGTATTTAATAATTCCAGCCACACAAGCTGCAGAGCTACACAAGTCCCAGGTGTACATCACAATACCTGTAGGCTTGTTCCCAGGATGGCACTTTGCACTGGTCCTTCACACTAAGTCTGAACAGGGGGAATCACAGCATTGCTTTCAAGACCCCCTGCTCAACAGAGCCCCAGCTGCTTTCTGAGCCCCCCCTTTGCTATTACAGCAGTTCCTCCCCTCCAAAAACTCCAATACATAGGAGAGAAGAACTCCAAGTCCCTGGTCTAGGCATTTTTACAACCAGGACATTAGGACAACACAGCAATAGCCACAAGCACATCAACCTGGGGACGCACACAACACCCTAAGCAGATTCTCATGACTCACCAAAGGCTGTCTGAGGCCCTTTCTTTCTAGGAATTCCTTAAAGGCCTGTGTGCTGTAGAGCTGTGTGACTTCTATCTCCTGAATTAATTTCCACAGTAGGTCAAATTAAAACATTCACATTTCATATTCATGTATGTTTCACATGCCTAAAGAAACCATGCAGTATGTGTCTGTCCAACTTTCATGAAAGCTTATCAACCAATACGTATTTCAACTGCTAACAGCTCTAACTAGTTCAGATTTCATTTTTGCTTCTAAAAGCAATGAGGTTGCTTTGTGAACATGAAATTGGTTTTATCGAATTATAACCTATGGTCCATAATCTGATGTCCTGTGTACTACACAAAGTCATTTCCCCCAGCAGCTTTGGCAAGCATCAAGGCAGGAAGAGTTATTCTTCATTTTCTAAGTAAGCACACCTACCCTCACTGATTTGCAGTCTATTTTCAGGAAAAGCTGAACAAAATGAGGTAGATTGTTGTTCAATTGTAAACTTTTCCTTTATTTTTAGCAGCATCAGCTATAACCTTTGCATTTATGTTCTTCTGAGCTCAGCTGTTCCCAGGCATCCTCCCTGCCAAAATTACTCATTTGTCTTTTTTCTTCATAAACCAGGAGCAACACTTGTCATCAACTTACCAGCCTTTTGCATGTGGCATGGTTTTAGTCACAGCAGCTCCTCAGTTTGACCTTTGGAAGGACTGCCCTCTAGAGCATTAACAGCGTTTTCCCTTTGTACTGTGTCCTAAGTGTGAAGGTGGAGTAATTTTTTTTTTTTTTTTTTTTAATAAAGTGGAAACTAAACCTACATCTAAGGCCAGCAACTGAAGAACCTGCCTACTCCTCAAACTCCTCCTAACAACACCTTGTGCCACAGATGAATCCAGCACCTTTGTCAAGGTGGGTATCGCAGGACAACTAAACCAAGATAAGCACACCCTAGAACATTCTTAAAATAACTAAATGTGCAACAGCTATTTAAGCTTGATTTGTGCTTATTTGCCTTCTGGGGCTATTGTCCACATATTGGTGCCATGAAGCCACAGGCTAATCCAAGTCAATGAGCCTGTTTGAACCACGGTGATCTCAGCTTGGATAACATGGTCTGTTCCACATCTGTTTGTGGCTGCCAATTACAATAAAGTGCCCAGATACATCCCTGTGAGAAAATCTCATAGCTATGTCACAGAAGAATGGATACTGCTTTTGACTTTCACAGTACCTTTTCAAACCAGTTCTTTGCACTCCCAAGGCTATTGATTGTGGCCTCTGGTTATTTTAATGGTTCATTTGCTTTCAGTTTTCTGCATGTTTTGGGATCAAGATACCATGCTCCATACCTGATCTTCTCCTATTTTGTTTGGGAAGGGACTTAGAAGAAAAAAAAAAAACCAAAACGAAATAACTATTGCAATGTTCTTTCATCATCTTGGCATTTGTCCCTCATACCATAGGCAGTACAGACCATCGCAGAACCTGAATGCCACCTCTGAAGAGTCTACCAGGGATGATCTTATATCCTACAACTGCACAATATTTAGGTGACAGCTGATGACAATGACTAGCAATTTTTTCCCTTCCCTCCTCACAACTCCCCTCAAAGGGAAACAGTATTTAAAGGTACTTCTGGAAATCTCTACCCTCAAGTCATCTAGCCATTTTTTAAACTCACTTTTGTAAGAACTTGGGAAGGAACCATGTGAGGTTCATACTTTGGGAGCCAGAGGCTCCACCACAAACCATCCAAACAATTAGATCTTTATCAAGTATAAATGTGGGGTCCCTTACATTAACCTGGCAGGGCAGGCTCCTTAGGTAGTGAGAACTCCTGACAGCTAACTGGGGAGGTGAAATGTCCTGGCTCTTGAGCTGCTTTGTTTCATGTTGATGAATTTCACAGCACTGGAAAGTGAAGGGACAGTGGCCTCCCTTTCACAGCTGGTGTTGAGCAAGCTCATGAGGGTATCTTCATCAATATTCCAATTCCCTCCACCCCAGAACATCCACCCCAGGAGAGTGAGAATGGGGAGAAATCAACATCTCCTTAGTAGTAGTACTTTCTTGCTTCTGTTACCGCCTCCTTGCCATCTATACTATTGTTAAACTCAACTCAGTGTCATAGTTTCAGCTGATCTACAAGTATGCTTGCATTAGAATCATCACAGTGACAAGGCAAGCACAAAGTTCGGATCTAACACATGCATTGGTGTATTAATCTCATATGAAAGGGGATTGCTACAAGGTGAGGCAGTTAAATGGTCATTTGGACATGGATGGCTTTCCTGGGGAAAAAAAAAATATTCTGCAGCAAACTTAATTAGTAATTTTGTATAGCGATATTTATTCCTTGCTTTTCACTTTAGTGGGCTAAGCCCCATTAGTCCCAACAGGACAGAGCTGTGAGTCAAATGCTGGTTTTGACTTTGGCTCTCAGATTTGCACATCCAGAGTCACATTTTTACTTCTTGAGCCCAAACACATTTAGCCTAAAAAGTAGCAAATAAGTCTACAGAATCAAAGAAAGCAGGTAGTGGCAGTTTCGTTTTACTTACCGAAGACAAGCCAGTCACAAAAATGCTTGGTTGCTTGCTTTACATGTTTGTCACAGTGAACAAAGTCAGCCAGTGTGGCTTCCTTTATTCTTGCTGCTACCTTCTTGAGAAGCTGTATGCATGGGGTTTTGATTCAAGACTCTTTGCCACTGCAGGTATTAATGCAGTACAATGTGAAACACCCTTTATCTGCTGTGGCAGCTGTCACCAGTCAACCTGCCACCTTCAGAATAGAAAACTGTAACTGTATGCATCCATCACCACATCTGCCTGTCATTATCAGAAGTGCTTAGGAAAGAATCAAGTGATAGCACTTACTCTGACTCAGCTAATTCAGCCTGCAAAACTAACCACCAGCAAAGCTGTCTCCTTGTGATTTTGAATCACTCAGCACCAACCACGACTAGTCTCTGAACAAGGTGGGATGCCAGTTAATCAGGATCACTGAGGAAAGCAAAGGAACCTATCTTTTAATGATAACTACTCCCATGACAGACTGATGTAACTTTTAATTAAGTGCTTTAATTCATTTTTCCACTCATCTCAGAATGGGGCATTCAGAGCCATTTCTGTTGCTGTCTTCATCTTGTACTGTACTCACTGTACCTGTGTCTTGGAAGCTGTTACTTTGCTTTGCATGTCCTCCATATGACCCAGCACCTCCTGACCAGGCTGGTTCTCCTGTTCATAGTCACTGTAGCCAGTTTTACTCTTCAGCATCATGTCAGGATCCAGGACACCTGCAACCTCTTTCAGGATCTGCAAGCCAAGCAAAAGGACATCCTGTGATCAAAAGCAATCTCATTGGAGGAAGTCTGCTTTGGGGGCTGTCAAGGACTGCCTGACATGCAAGTACCTACACATCTACTAGCAGTTAAGGCAGTTCATAGTCCAGAAGCCTCAATTTACAGACCTTTTCCAAAAAACTCTAAAGCATTAACTGCACCTCAGGCTGCTTGCTAGAACTGTGAATCATGCTTTAAGTCTAGTCTCTGACATCTTCTATGGCCATCTGCTATACCACATACGAAGCTTGCCTTCAACCACTTTTAAGTTTCCTTCCTGTCAGTACAACCCCTGGTTTCATGATCCCATTGTCCCAGTAATCATAGCCTAGGATCAGGGAGAGCCTGGTCTCATAGAACAGACACCCAATTTCCATCTCTGAAATATAAGGCTTCTCCCACTGGACCCATCTATCATCTTATTGCATCCAAGCCTTAGGGGAGTATATCCCTTTAGACAAGGCTAAAAAAATGCTAAGGCACTCCATTCAGTTCCCCATCTTCTTTAGCATAAAGCCTGTCTTTCCAAAAGTCTCCCAGCTTCCCCCTGTTCCTTTTGAGAGGTACTAGAAGCAAAATAACTTAGTTTTGCCATTGTATTTAGTCACTATCTACCCTCCACAACATCCAGACAAGAGCATTCCGGAAGTTCCCAGCTGCACAGAAGGTAACTTGCTACCTTTTGCTTGCATGAAGCAGAGCAATATCAAGAACTGGAAACAAGGAAGGAAAGGAAGATTCTGTAAACATGCTGAGAAATAAAGCTAATGAGATATACTTTGCTATCTTGGGTATATTCTTAACAATTATGATTAGAGTTGTTTCCTGCTCTATAACATCTATTTGTATCACTGCCTGTTGATAACTTAGCAGATAGCACATTTTCCTTGATCTGTTGATTCCTCAATTAGCCATTTACAATACTGCTCCACAATTAACTTGCCAGCAATTTGGACTGACCATCTAAATATAAGTTAACATTAATATTATTTGCCTTGTTTTTAGTTTGGAAAGAAACAGAACTAGGTGTGTGGTTTGAATTGACGATAGTAGCTGCCTTCTATGTTGGTTTCCGGTTCCCACTCTCCAAAGAAACAATGTTTAACCAAGGTTACAATATGATTACCTTTGGGGAGGTGCTCTTTTCCAAGCATGGGTAGCACACTGAAGGCTGCTGGCTCAGATAGCACTCTTTCTGTGCAACATAATCCTTCCTGGCTTGCTGTAGCAGGCTGAGCTTGCAAAGACAGACCTCTGCTCTGCTGCACTGGTTCCTTTTCTTCCATGGAGCTCTGGACAAAGATTTTGGTGTGCTGTTCTCAAGGGTAATTGAGACAGGCTGCTTCCTGCCATTAACAAGCATGTTACCAGGTGAAGGAGGAAAGCCATCTCTGAAGTCATCTAGACCTTTCTTCAGAAATATCCAGCACTGACCAGTAAGCAAGTTGGAGAATCTTGGTCTGCTTTCTTGAAAGCCCTTATAAGACATTCTCCCTTCTGTAAGCAAATTACATCATGCAGAGCTTAAAGGCTCTATTCTAATGAAAAATACGGGAGTACTTCCAGAGCACAAGTGGATATTCAGGTCCAGGTGTGCTCACCCACACTGGCCAGCATCTTGCTGCTGTACAGCTGTTGAGAAAAGCTGATAAAACACTGACAACTTGCTTGAAGGACATCATACACTGAAAAATGGCATTTCAAGCACACAAAATACTGGCATTAAAATTTTTTTTTTAATAAAAAAATAATTAATGTTATAGAGCTTCTGTTTCAAGACATTTTTTATATATGCCTATTGCTTTACTGAGAAAAATATTGTGAAATTGTATGTTCAAGATGACAAATATTCCTAACACCTCATTTCAGTTAACCATAACTTGTCCAGCTTTCGGTCACTCCACAGTTTTTAGCTATACTGGCTTAAACAGTCAAATGGCAACTGACAGATGTTTTAAATTGGTACTTTCAGTGCAATACAATAAGGTACTTGCTTGCTAAAGCATAGCAAAAATTAATAGCCTAAGAGGTTGGCTTTAGAGATCATTAACATACTTGCAATATCAAATAGTGCAGTATCACGCATTTTATGCAGATGTATAATGCATATTTTATCCAGATATATACTCAGGAATTGCTTAATCCAGAGGTAAAATACATTTTAAGAATGTATTAAGAATTAGAAATATACATACCTGATAATTTTACAGCTCTGACAGTAAAAGTACCTTAAGAGAAAAATAGTATCTTATTCTATTTTTACTGACGTATAGAAAGTTACCTCCAAGGCACTCCACAAGAAAACTCCCAGAAAATCTGAAAAAGGTGTGTAAGAAAACCTGCAGAAGCTAACACTACAGCCATGTTGTTTAGACAAGGAAGGCACTAGCTTTAAGTCCCTGCTGGCATAATAACACTAAGCATGTTTGTAGCTGGTTGTTGTGGAAACCAGATTCACAACTCCTTTCCTGCCTAGAGCAAAAGCTTTCTTCACAAACAGAAACATGGAGAACTCCTGGGAACTGCAGAGAAAAATATTGGAATTAGACCAGAATTTTCTTCTGCCACAGCAGATATCCTTATCTTTTCAACACCCACACTTATTTATGACTGAACAAGCAAAGGCTTTGCTGCTGCTGGAAGATTGTGCCTTTATGACTTGTTCTTTACCATCACGCTTTAAGAAAAATACAAGCAGCAAACATGGGTCAGGTCTGGTGTTACCTCTTCTTGTGGGTTTGAATCATGACACAGAGTGGTGGATAAATTCAAAAGGAATGACTTGGGACAACTGGAGTAGCTCTCTTTAACAGTTTGTGGAATAAATTCTGCTAATTCCTCAATCAGTTCTCATTGCGCTGCCGAAGCCTATCAGAAAATTTACGTACCTACTGGAAGCTCAAATAAAACAAATTCAAATACGTGGCATCGCAGTGCCAGCAGACACTAGGTTGATACTCTTTCTAACATTAAAGTCTATTTGTGTACCCCAACATTCAATTACTGTCAGAATATCAAGCAGCAGGGGACCTCTGTCTTGGGCTGTAACCCAGCGAAGGCAAAATCCAAGTGTGACAGGAATGACTTTTCCCAGAATTGGAAGGATGGGGGGAATAGAAGCTTACAAATCTACAATGCAAGACTGAGGAACTATGAATGGTTTGCCCTTAGACCATCAAGTGATCATTTGTTTGGCCTGAGAAAACACTCAAGAAAAAGACTAAATAAATCAAGTTAATAACATTGTATTAAATGTAGCCCACAAAAAAATTTCAACTCAGAATCCTCAAAAAGAAAAGCCAAAGCTTACTAACATCCATATACAGATCAGAAAGTAATCACGCATAAATTAAACAAATCATACTTTGCACCCTTTAACACTGCCTAATGATTCTTCCAGCAAAGTTCCCTATTATATTAAATAACACTACTCACAGCACAAGTGATATACTCCATAGATTTCAATCCTAAAACAACCCAGAGTAAACAAAATCTCCAATTCTCACCCCAAAGAAAACACCTGCCAAAAAAAAAACAAAAAACCAAACAAACAAAAACCCACCAACAAAACAAAGGAAGTGGCCCTTTCCCCCCTCTGAATTTAAGCATTCCTGGTTTGATGAGCTCATGGAAATTAGACTAATGAGTATGCAGGAGAGAAGGGGGTTGGGATATAAATACTCACATGGAGCTCCTCACTAGATTAATGTTTGCTTTTCCTTTGTAGTAGCTGGGAAAGCCATAGCAGCAGCAAAGAAACCATCTTGTTTTGTTTCTTAATGAGCAGATTTTTTTTTATGTTTAAATAGTTGCTTTCTTAAAATTAAGGTAAGCTTATGCAATGGTTTTTGGGCATTTGCTCTGTTTATAGGAAAAAAGGAGAAGCTTTTCAGTAGCTTGTTTCCTTGCTTTAGTTAAGAAATTTGAATCTTTTTAAAAGGCTACAAAGTTAATTTTTACTGAAAAGGCTATAAAAACTTTTACGCTAAGTGTTTTCTTATTTGCAGTAGTTAAGATGCAAATAATAATTTTATTAAACAAGCTGTATGATAGTTATGCTTATTCTATTCACTGGGTTTTAAGTAAAAAAAAATAGTTCAGTCTTTAGACTTTTTCTAACCTTAAACAAAATCTTTAATTTCTGTAGAAGCAAAAGCTATAATGTTGTTTTTACCAACCTACTAGGAAAAAAATCCAGTAGATTGCTATGGATGTTTTCAATGGTGTGAGTAAAGTTTGTTTCTAACATGGTTGCTTCCAAAATTACTAGTCTTCAAAGCTGATTAAAGGGTTATATTTCATCAAGTTCATAATTGATTGCTGTATTAGATCAGTTTACTCTTAAACTGATCTGCTTTTCTGATTCAGTTTAAGTAACAGCTGTATAGTTCTACATTCTCTTTACCAAAACTAGTTTGTGATAATACATGACTGAAGGGTACTGAGTGAAAGCTCACAATCACATGAAATACTACTTCTGTTTCTTTGAATACTATGCTGAAGTCTTCAATAGAGCAGAGATGCCTGAAAGCAGAAACTAAGCATGCCAAGATGCTGATGAAATTAATCAAAGATCATTATGTGAAATACTAATTCTTTTTTCTTAGCCCTATTGTTCTGGCTTATGTTTTAAAATGAGCTCTATTTAGTTTAGAAAGCACAGCAGGTGACAGAAGGCAGATGTTTTTTTCTTTATTCTTTAAATAACTAAATTCCTTCATCTTTAGGTTCTAATGCCAACCATCAATGGTGGTATCCAGACCATCAGGCTTAAGCTGTGCTCTTGCAGGTGTCTGTACTTGAAGTGAGTGAAAATGTGTGTATTTCCCTGAAAAGAAGTCACATGTGACCCTGAAAAGGAAGCTTTAAATGTATATGGGTGTGTGTATATATATATATATATATATTCCCCCTGTCCCAGACTTGCTGAGTGAGTGACCAGGAGATGTGTTAGACCCCAGTTAGAAGTCTACAGTGTCCCTGCCAGTAGGAAGTGGTCCATCAGCTTTGCACAGCTTCCTGTTCAAATTGTGAAACTGTACTTGATTTTCAGTACCTGCAGCATTGGCAGCGTCTGACAGCTAGAGCACATCTCAGCAGGCGCTGTGCCTGGATGTGCTTCTTATGCAGGAACCCAATTGTTTTAAGGGTTTGGGGAAAGCCAGAACTAATCTGAACCAATATTTTCAGGTTGTTACAGGCAGGCAGTGAATGTGCTCAAGTGGTTATAGCTGGCTGTGACTTTCTTACTGTCATAATAATAGTCTTTTAGTGGGAAAAGCCTTGTCTCACTTGAAATGAGAAGTAATAATAACTTTGGACCTGTAACAATGCCATGTTTAATCCTTAATTTTATGTTGATATATAAGACAACTATGCTCTGTAAAATAATAATGTAAATCTGTTCTACAGTGTAAATAATCAGTTACCTAAAGGGAATAAAAGCTATACAAAGTAAGAGGTAAGCATTCTATTGCCTTGTTTTAGAGATAAATTAATAAGACAACTGAATTAGAAAGAACTTTCTAAGTTTCTTGTTATCCTTGTTGAGTGTTCACGTTTAATGCTCACCACTGCTATACACTCATCTGAAATGTGTTGTGACATTGTCTGGAAAATGGGAGGTGGAAGGAGTGTCACCTCTGAGGAGCTTTGTATCTACAGCTACTAAAAATCTAAACGTACCGTTCTCCTGTACCACCCAATCTGTCCTCAATTCCCCTGCCTTATAAGGGCTGTACTTATCAATGGTAAGGCTCTTTTTTTAAAGCTCTCTTCTTGGTCTTGGTCTGACTTGAAGAGCTCACTTTATGTCCTGAAGATGATCTCAAGGCTGCAAGCCCCTTGGGCACCCCAGCTGGAAATCACAGTGTGAATAAAAACCTACCTACTCTGCTACCATATCTACATTCCTTAACAGTTAAGGGCCAGACCTAGCTCCACGGCAGTGTTGCTGCACTAACTGGTAGCACTTAACACTCAAAAGCTGACTTTACGCACCAGATGAAGCTATGTCATCCAGCCGAGACGAGCGTAGGGCCGCTGCCGGGCAGGGACGTACTTCAAATCACGGGGCACTGCGGGAAGGATGTACTGCTCGATAAAGTTTGTCCCTCGGCGGCGCCGGTTGGAAGGGGCGGGCTAAGATGGCGACGCGCAGTTGATATCCCACGTGTTTGCGGCCGGGCCGGGCGCGCCGTTGCCAGCATGTCGGGCCGGCAGGGGAACAAGCTGCCCAGCAACCTGCCGCAGCTGCAGAACCTCATCAAGCGCGACCCGACCTCCTACACCGAGGAGGTGCGGGGCCGAGCGGGGGGGCTGGGGTGGGATGTAGGGCTGGGGTGGGATGTAGGGCTGGGGGTGTCAAGTGTTGCTTGCACCGCTCAGCAGCTGACGGCCCTGTTGTGTGTGCTCAGTTCCTCCAGCAGTACCACCACTACCAGTCCCATGTGGAGATCTTCACCTTCCAACCGGACAAGCCTAGCAAGGAGCTGGCCGAGTTGGTCATGTTCCTGGCACAGGTAAGCCGCTGCACCTCTGAAGGGCCGCCGTGACGCCGGCCTGGAGCCCTCCACCAGCCGCAGAGCCTTTGCCCTTAGCGTGGTGGCTGTGGCAGGTTTGGCTGTTAATGTTGCCAGAGCTGCTGTAAAACTGTGCCTTGACTGAGGTTCCTCCAGCAGTGTTGTGTGTTCCCAGCAACATAAGTCTTGTG